CTGTTTTTCTGTTTTTTTTCTTTTTGTTTTTTTATAGGTTTCAGAGAAATTATGTTGAATCCAATAAGCCTTCCCGGACATTCCAAGCCTCTTAAACTATTAATATTTATAGTAAATTAGGTAAACAGTTACCTATATTAGGTAAATAGTTATATTAGGTAACTGTTTCTTTATATCATAATGAAATGATACACCCCAAAAGGGCATAAACACTATTTTATGTGTATTATCTGTATTAGAAATTATTAAATTCTGATTTATAATAGCATTATTTCTTTATTTTATCATTTAGTTTCTATGCCTTTGCATATGTCAACTTGGGTTATAATGAAGAACATTGTAGCTAAAAATGGATATTCTGGATTATTTACAGGTAAAAATACTTGCTTTACTAAATTATTTAATAGAATGATTACTTTTAAACCTGTCATCATCTAAAATTAACTTTCAGGAGGAAGTTATAGGTAATATTCCACAATTATTATTTTCTCCTAAATACCATATTTTTGTGATAAAAGAAATGTTAAATAACAGATTTATATCAAGATAAAAATTTCTGTATAATGTCATATGGAATTAAGTGAAGAAACTGGGAGTGAGTAGTTTGACCTGTCCTTTGCTACTAATTTATGGTGCAGAATTTGATGTATAACTTCATTTAATTTGATCATTATCAGAGTGATACCAAATAAATTATATTTTTAAAAATAAGATAAAATTTGTTCTGATTTTTCTTCTATTCTTTTTTCAGGCCTAATTCCTCGTGTAATTAAAATTGCTCCTGCTTGTGCCATTATGATCAGTACATATGAATTTGGAAAGGCTTTTTTCCAGAAACAAAATGTTCGAAGGCAGCAAAACTAGTAATGCTGTTTCATCTTGAAATAACAACTACAGCCAAATAAGGTGGAGACAGTTAGGCAAGAACTTTGTTCACCATTATTTTCTTACAATGATTTTATGTCTTTCTTTCCTATAATTTAAATAAATAATTTCTACTCTACCTCTAAATCATAATCCTAATTTTAAAATGTTTTATCCTATTTTTGGAGATGATGAAAAAGATAATCCAGAAATCACAACCATTGAGCATTCTTATAAGAAAAAATGTAAAATTATTTGTTAGCACTGAAAGCAGTTTCTGAGAGTTTAATATTGTATGTTTCAGTGTAAATTAATCTTATTGGGAATGTGTCAGATATATCAGAACTTTTTGAATTGTGTGCTGAATGATGTACAGAGTCTAGAGGAAAAAAGCCTAAGTCTTTGTCTAAAAAAAAAAGTCTCACTCTGTTGCCCAGGCTAGAGGGCTGTGGCATCAGCCTATCTCACAGCAACCTCAAACTCCTGGGCTCAAGCAATCCTTCTGCCTCAGCCTCCCGAGTAGCTGGGACTACAGGCATGCACCACCATGCT